CGGCAGAAAAAAGCCTTGATTTGTAGAATTCGCCAACTTCAAGTGACCCAGGTGATGCCCCTCAACACTGATCACAGAATTGGGAAAGACGCGCACGCAGGCTCTTGTTAGCTGCTGCAACTTGTCTCAGCCTGCACAGGGCATATCTGTGGCGTAGCGTTTTTCTTTGTCATGTGAACAGGCAACTATGACCTCGTGTAGGCTCTGTAGTATGACACTATTTCTCAAACGTTTTGACCTCCTGGATATATGAGATACTGGGTAACAGTGTAGCCATAACCACAGTGTAACAAACTGTAATCACTCTTACTATTTGCTGCATTGTGATATTCTATTCTAATTCAGTTAAAACTGTAAATTGTTTAGCAATCGCTGGCTGGTATTTATTTAACATACATATGGCTGTTTCTATGTGTTGGGCACTGTTTCAAATGCTTTACAAATGTTGACTGTTTCCTTCATCATAAGCACCCTGAGAGGTAGGTGCTGGGTTCTACCTTTGTTTCTTCGCAATGATGTTACTTGTCTTATGGGCTTCAGATATGCTCCTCAAAGAAAACAAACTATGCACAGTGCAGTGATTTTCATCAATGTATAGTGTCAAAATAACAATGCTTATAATTTGCCTGGGTGTCTATTTTAATTTTCTCTGATTCTATAAGAATATTATGACTAAAAGCACTTTGTGTGCTTAATGTTTTTTAAAAAATTCTAATACTGTAAATTTTCTACTTTTCCAGATTTTCCCCCCTAGAAAGTTATGTCTAAATCATTAGCATTTAACTTTCTTTGGAACATTTTCCTCTCAGAAAAAATGGATTTGGGGGGACTCTTAATCAAGACTAGTCAGAATTTTTCTGAATAATTCTATAATTTGATCTTCTGGCTGTTATGAACTGAGTAACAATTTCCTTTCTCATCAGCTCCCTCGACAGCCTCAAGAGCTTCTTTGCTGATATCTCCATTACTTTTCTGGCTTCTCTGACATCTTCAGCAGCTGTCCATGGAACTTTTATCATAGCCCTTAAGTTTCTACATAATCTGACTCGGCCACAGCTGGTGTGGTCTAGTGGTTAAGGGTTTGAGGTTCATGGCCTGGTCTCTCTCCTTGCGGTTGTGTGACTTTGAAAACAATTGTTAATCTCTCCGTGCCTCAGTTTATTGATCTTTAAAATGGGAAAATATAGCATCTACGTCATAAAGTTTTTATAAAGATTAAGTGAATTAATGTATAGAAAGGGCTTAGAACAGTGCCTGGAATGTATATAGAAAAAACTTAAATATCAGCTCCTCTCCTCTTCCCGCCCTGATTCTCCAGCCCATCTCCAAACTCTCTTTCATTCAGTCGCTGAAGGGTATTTACAGAAGCTCTTCTGGCTACTTGAAGAGCTCCTTTGTCCATTCTTTGCCTAATTCATTCTCTCCTATTCTTCACGTCTCTGCTTAACTGTCACTTCTCAGATGAACCCTTTTGACACCCTGTCTGATTCACACCCCCTGTGATAGTGTCTCATCACAGAACTGACCTTCCCTTTAAAGCCCTGCCACAAGCTGTTCACAGGAGACTTAGAGTGGTGGAGGGGGCTGTTTCCACACTGCTGACTGCACCCTTCCCAATGCCCGGCCTGAGCTCGGTACAGCACTCGCACATTTGATTGCTCATATCTGTTGGGAGCCTACATGGTGCCTTTTTAGTATCAGCTCCATTTCTGTCTTGTTTTTAGGTACCTTTCCTTGTGATTCTTCTCTCATTTTCTTTCTTTTTATTTAAATAACTTTTTTCCTTTTTTTTTTTTTTTTTTTTGAGGAAGA